GGGGTACTTTTACCATCAAGAATAGTTTCACTGTCTAGATAACTGTAAACTATAGGAATGGAATCTGTATCTGCCTGTGAAATCTGTAATGGTAGATTATCTACCAAATCTCTAATTAGGCTGTTATTCCAGAAGGCACAACCCTCTGGTTCATGGAATCAGAGGGTTAAGGGAAGACTGAAACCTAATTTTCCATCTTCTAGGAATAAAAAAAGGGTAAGAGGCAGAAGAATTCCAAAAATCCTCATATCAGCAAATTTTCAATAACAGGATATGATGGAAAACAAGGTTGATGATTGTAGCTGAAAACAACTGAGCTACTAGGGTGAAATAAAGGGAGGAAGCGGCACAGAGGAAGGCCAGGCTGTGAACCACATTTGCCAGGCCCTTGGCCATGCCCCGTAATCGAATTCTTGGCTTGCAACTATTTCACATCGTTAAATCCCCTAATCCCTTTATGCATTTGTGAAGACCCTTAAATATAACAGCCTATTTTAAAATAAAGAAAAAATGTGTTTTCAAAACAACTTTTCCCCTACATGTCTTACATTTTTGTCTAAGATGCCTGCACTTGTGCCTCTGCCTTTCAAATAAATGTTGGGCATTTTTTTCTGCTATTTTTAATCTGCTGGGCATTCTGGAAATTCCAGGTATTTATAGTTTACTAATTTATTTCCTTGTGTAATCTCACCAAAGTTTGGCATGCAGCATATATTTTGAATTCTGATACCACCCACCTAGTAATTACTTAACAGGTGCTGCCCATATTAGTAACTTCATCTTTGGGTGAGGTTAAACATAGTGTTGAATACGCTCCTACAAACTAAGGTTTTTAGCCATGACTTTAAAACTTAGAATAAATACGAATCACAACCTTTCAATAACCATGTTAATAAATTGATGAAAAGGCAAGTACATGTTTTTCTTAAATATATACTCTTTTGTCCATGTTATTTGAAATAATTACTATTACACTTTTTCTTTATCTATTATTAGATGTTATAATTGAATTTTTCTTTATAGTGTAAGATAACCATTAGAGAATTTCATGGAAACGGGTACATTAGAGTTACCTAATATTTAAAATCGTTATCATATTGATTTGAATTCCTTCAATTTCCATGTAACCCACTTTAAAATACTCATATCTTTATGCAGTTATGTCCCATTATGACATGCCACAAAGGAAAGCGTACCCCCCTTCTTTTCCAGCATGAAATGTTTCACACAGAGTTCAAGTTTCTTCCTCTGCCATTGTCTCCCTTTTCCGTGGGGATTTTCCTCTGTCCCTTCTGCTTCCCCCATTGCAAAAAGTCTTCTCACCCTGTCTTCCTTTCAAACTATATGTTTTGTTTTTTATATTTTTCTCTTCATCAAGAAATTCCTAGAAAGATTATTCAAGACTCAAAGGATATCTACACCCCTCAGTTACTCCTTAGCACATGCTCACTCTATAGAAGATGTTAACATAAAGGTCATTAACGCCTGTCTCATTACTAGAACACACTTCCTCTTTCCCGTACACCAGCTTGTTGGCTATGTAGCACTTGCCAGCATCTGCCCCATGTGCTCATCTTACTGGTTTAGTCCAAGTACTATAGCTTAAGCTCCCAGAGCTACCCTAAGGATTAACAATCCAAATCTGTTGATCCACTCTCTCAGTGATGGGCCCACTCTCTCACCACGCTTGCCCTTTTCTGACTCCTACACATCTGTTCATCACAAACATATCAATATTCCCCAATGTGAGAACTTCAGCTTTCTTCCCTACTGACTTTACACAGACCTCCTGTGCGATCTCATCCTTGTCCCTGCCTTCAGTCATTACCTATTCACTAGGTATATTCTAACCACTGCCTTACTTCTGACCTTTAGTAACGCATGCCTAATTGCCCGAAGTCACTGCTTACTTGACATTCCAATGGATACCTCAAAACGTTACTTGCCAAAATTTGAATTTGTCATCCACCTTTTAGCCTGTTTTTTCCCCCCTCTTAATCATCTTGTTTAATGGTAACCAGTTCTCATTCAGGCCAAGAAATCAGGGACCATTTTTTACTCCCTCTACTATTCATCTGTCACGTCCAGTTGGAGACCAACACTTATATATTCTACAATTCCCAGAAAGCATCTAGAGTGACCTTTTAAAAATGTATACATTAGACTGTGCCATAGCCTAGCTTTAAAACTTTTCCGAAAGCTCCTCAACCAACAAAAAATAACACACACACTCATGACTTTGATCCTACAGGATGAGACTTTTAGAGTCCCCTCCAAACACCTCTCACTGTGCTCAAGCCACAGTGGCCTTCTGTTTCTGGAACATGCCATGCTCATTCCTTCCTAGTCCCTTTGTTCTTACCTATGCAACACTATTGCTTTTATTTATTTAAATGTTTGCTCCTGTGATCCGTAAGTGTCCCTATACCTGCTACCTTAGGAGCTCAGGTAGTATTATTAGCTAAATATGAGCTGCCTGGCTATTACAGGAGTCCATCAGAAGATTACACATTCATACCACAAGAAAACTTCTATTCACAAAGGCTTAAAACAACCCAATAAAAGTTATCACGTCTGAAATTTAAACAAAGACAACTGGTGTCTAGAAACAGCAGCAGACCTAATTTTACCTTACCTTGTGTTACTGAACACAAACAGCAGCTAAAGGCTCTAAAAGATCAGGTATACAGAAAGAAATGGTCAAAGTAGTCCCATGAATAAGGATAGCACTCATTGGTGCTAACACAGCACCTCTCCATTGTTACATGATAAAGAAACAGGCAATGTCCTGTTTGGAATAGGTACATATAATTCATAAGCTTAGTCATGCTGTTTTAAGTTTCTCTCCTCTACTTTCTTGTCTCAGCTAAAATCCGAAATTTTTATTCATTAACAACATAGTGCCAATGCCAATTAAGAACAGAGGCAACAATAATTCAACCAAAAAAGTTACTTTTAAGTCATATGCATTCTTCTGAGTCAACATATTGAGGGCTTGCCAATATTATTCAAAGTTCAACCACATCAGAAAGAATTAGGATCCAAGTCATTCTTACTCAAACTCCAATGTGATTCCGACTAATACTTTTTGGCTGGACAAACTACCTTTTACAGTATTTGTACTTCTCAGGCTTTGATTTTTCTGTTTGTTTTTTTTAATTATTTTTATTAAAAGCAGAAATATCAACATGACATGCATACTGGATGTTACATGACATTTTGAGGCTAACAAGAAGTAGGAAGTAATATAAAGTAACAGTCTGATACTCATGAGGATATTCTCATGGATTTGTAGAATCTTTGCTATAGATGTTTCAGATCAATATTTAAGGACTGCATCTCTATCCAGTTATTAGTTTTGGAGGTTTTTTTTTTTCCTCCCCTCTCAGGAAGTATTACTTAGCTGTTCATCAAATCCCTGGTAATCAGAATCAAATTGGAATGATAGCAGAGAAAGTAACAGTTTTAGTATCTAACACTCCCCCTTATGGTTGAAATAATGAAAGCAAAACCAACAGCATTGAGTTTAAGAAACGTAATATATGATATTCAGGGACTATAGAGCTTTTCAATATAAAGCCATAAAAATATTTTAACAGGTGTTAATTCATGAATGTGCTCTTTATAAAATTTATAGTAATACTATTCCACATTTCCATATCAGTTTAAGTCCTAAAGAGTGTTCATAATTATATGTCATTATCATATCCTAATTAGGGTTCATTTTTCAGATGAGAAAGCTGAGGCTCAGAGAGGTTACAAGTCTTTCCCAACGTCACACAGCTTTTATTGTAGTAGGGTCTGAAGGTGTTATACTTGCTTTCAGTGAAACTTCAAAAAACAACTACAATTAATTTCCATAGATTCATGCTTGTGTCCAGAGTAATTAAATCAGGAAGTTTCCTTAAAACTTAAGTAATTTATAGAGTCTTTCTTTCTAGTGATTTTTTTCATAGCAGGTACACAGAGTACACACCATTATAAGCGGTCTTTAAGTGCTTGTTCAATACACACACACACACACACACACACACACATAGAGACAACTGATGTGCTAGTTAATCATGCTATAAAAATAAATTCCTTTTATCATTTTGGATTTCAGTTTTCTTACAGTAAGGAAAGCAGGTCAGCAGGTCAAAGAGGTCCATGTTTTTTTTTTTTCCTTTTTCCAGTCTCTGACAATTAAGACCTCATAAAGTTTAGATACAATGTCTATTCTGTGCTAAAAAGAGTTTCAGAGGAAGTGTCATGTTGTGGATTTTGGCTACAATCCTGATGATATCTGCTGATGTCAGTTCAGTAAAGGCATTTTGTGTTCTAGGTTGTCCTATAAAATTAAGTTGTGAGTATTTAATTAAGAAAGGGGGGGAGTGTTTATTTCAGCACTATATCAATCTGTTATTTTATTATAACACTTAAAGTTTTACCAGTTGGTAAAGATAAGAGAAAGCTGAGGGGGAGTCAGCTCTAGATTGAAGCTTTTCGGGAAACTCATGTCTCACAATTAGTCACTGCTCAGCAAGCTCCCAGCAGCATGCTTTAGAGCTAGTTCCCCAAGTGCTAAAGAATCCATGTGTTTACACTGGACTCTGTTACGAACAAAGAAAATACTATTTATACATTTTAAAAATACACATGGCAAGTTCTATTCTTCAAGCCAGTTGTTCAGACAAAAAGGCTCCAGTTAAAATTGGAAATGGGTTTTCTTGCCACCAACACCAGAGTTAAATTATTCAGACATCAGAACAAACAATGTCAGGGATGGGATAAAAAACCTGGAGATATGAGTAAATTACTCAGGAGTCAGTCCTAGTCAACTGTATTGATTCTATTGCTTGTTCATCAATGACATCCAAATAATCAGGTGATATAAAGTGATTCCATCATTTCTTAAACAAACAGTAAGTCATGCAAAAGAATTTTCTAGTCAATTTACAAGTGCAGTTGAATCTGGAAGTGAAGATAAGCATAATATTTAGAATAAATATGATTCTTACCATCTGAGATTGACTCCTAGGACATCCATTGATATCTTCAACTTTTTCATTTGCTAAAGCCCAGACATAAAATGCAAGAGAGAAAAAAAGAATGACATGCTTAAGCAAGGAAGTAAAACAAACACAAAAAGGAGAGTAAGAAACAAAACCCCAAAACACCAAGCAAAACTCTGTCTCCCAAGCGTTGTACAAGAGGACACACTTGTTAGCAGCCTCCAACTCCATATGCACAAATCAGGCAAAAAAAAAGAGTGAGTGAGAAGGAAGTTGCTGCTAATTCTTTTGCCTGTGCCAAATGACTGCTGACATTAAACCTTTCACAATTGTCCCTGCTGGATCAGGATCTAGTTTCAAGGAATCTCTGCGTGTATGAGTTGCCACAGCTAATGAAATGCACACATGGGAGACATATGGTTTAATGAAGTGTTCATTTCTGACAATTCCGTGTATGGAAGATATACTTCGAACTATTTAAAAGTATGGCCCAAGTGCCCTTTTCAAACATTCTCACATAAACATTTCTAATTAAATCATGGGAGGGCTACATGCATCTCAGAGACACATGGGCCGAGTTTGTAGGAATTCCACTTGAACTGCATTTTACCCGAAGGGGTGGGAGCAGAGATTTCCCTGGTTTCTCCGAGGGCCGGTCTTACCAATGATCTGGATGATTTCGGCCAGCAGTACTCCGTCTGCGATGTCTTGTTGCAAATCCTTGATCAGCCGCTTGTGGCCCGATTTTGCCAGGTAGTGGTTGGCCCAGTCGGTGTAAATCTGTTGAACAGAAGGAGGGAAGAAGTGAACTGGGATGAGGGAGCAGAGAGATAATAAAATGCTTAAGACAAATGTTGCATTCAAAGGGAAGCTATTCTGGATCACATTCCAGCTTAAGAGGTCACGGCTCAAAAGGAAATAGTTGTAAAATAATTTTTAAACAGCTCTTTCCCCTCCACTTATCTCGTTTCAAAGCGGGGATGATTCACTCTCTTTCAAAACCAGGGACGAGTCACTTGTGACACAGCAAAACTCCCTCCTTCCCAGATGACTCCTGTCTGCATATCAGTTTGGGATTTTGCTCTCTTCCCTCTGGCTCTATCCTATTGTAAATAATCCTGCTGATCCTTGTAAAAGAAAGCCACCTGTACTGACTTCTACAGAAACTTTACGATAAAAATGTGTATTTCTACGAGAAGACTTTATTAAATTTGTCACACGTGATACTGTATGTGACAGTATTTTGGCATCATTTTATGAAAAAAAAATGCAGATGCCTAAGATATTTTATTTGGACTGTCATCCTTCATTGCAGCCTCTTGAAACATGTTTATATAAGAGATAGAGGAAGCAAAGGCAGTTATTACACACAAATTACACAAATTACAATACAGAATCGAGGAGATTGGCAATTTGACATAGTGTTTCGGTGACTCTTCAACCACAGATTATGATATAAGGAAAAGCTGAAACTGTTCACAAATTTCACAAAAATAAAATGTTATTAGCTTTTCAAATGTTATGTAGCTTCTACGAATGTAATGTAATCTAACTGAAAGGAAATAAATGTTAAGACTTCAATTTTATGGGTGGCTCATACAAACATATTAGTAAGTTTTTTGCAGGACAAAAAACTTTTTGGAATGTAGTATAAGAACGCAAAATTTGAAATGAGAATTGACGAGGGGAACCAATTAAGAAACATGCACTTAAAAATGTGTTATCGAAGCACTGGCGTTAGAGCCAGGAACATAAAGGGCCCTGAACATAAGAAGGGAAGGGAAGGGCCTTCCCCACAGAGGGTATGAGGTACAAAAAGGCAGAGAGGACAAGAAATCAAAGACATAGTTGTTAAGTCTATAATTAAAACAAGATTCTGAAAACAGGACACATTAGACTGAAAGGTAAGTTGTATTTTATAGTCATGAGCACTGAATGCCAAGCAAATTGTAAAATACTTTTTTATATCTAACAAAACCAATACACATTTTTTTGTAAAAATAAAATAAAATAAAGTAGTGGAAGTCTCCCCACAACTTGTAACCCCACCCACGTTTGGACAGTTTGGAAGGACTATTTCGAGAATCTTTTCTATGCCCTCACACTTCACCATGTGATGCCATATCACACGCACACACACACGCACGCACGCATACACACATAGGATTTTTTTTTCTTTTAATTATTTTTTATTATGAAATATATATTTTTTAGAATTAGTTTCAGCTGTATAACACAGTGCAAATAAGATTTTTAGTAAAACCTGGCTCAAATTTTATATATCATTCTGCATTTTCAAATTTTTGTGTAACAATATTTTAATAACACTTCTAAAACCATTCCACATTTATTTTTCTCATTATCTTTGATGTTCAATTGTACATAATATCAGTTCCTCAAAGAAAGTATTTAATTTGTTTAAATGTTTCCATTACATGAAAACTTGTAAGACACACCCTTATATGTCTATCTCTGCACATTTATATGCTAGTATTTTTATAGGACCATAACTTAGAAATGGGGCTGTTAAGTATTTTTTAATGGATCTTAGGTACAAACATTTGAAAATACAACATAGAAGAAAAAGAGAGTGTTTTTTTTATTTTGGAATATACAAAGTTGCATTTTAATGCATATGTGGTAGTGATTAAGTTTCCTGAAAGACATAAATAATTGGAAGCATCCAGTTGCATAAAAAAATATATCTGATAGCAAAATTACATCTCCTTTGTCCACATTCATGATATTCTTTATGTTAAAGATATTAAAGTGTGAGAAAAATAACTTGGACAATTATCTCCTGAATTAGAAAACCAACACATGATTTCTAGAAAGACAATTTTCTTTGAACATCTCCCTCAATTAAGATTGTATTCTTCTTGTATTATAGTAAAATTTTATTTTTATAAGGATTTGTACTATTTAGAATTTAAAACATTGAGCCTTTCCCCCTCAGCTATACATCAATCAATGCACAGCATTCATTGTTTGACCTTCTAGTAGAAATGTCAGGTTGAACCAGACTTGATTTGTGCCCATACCATAGGCAGCAAGTAATAAGGACCAGTTGATTGACTTTCCAAAATCCCACAGAGATGAAAAACATGAGTTCTAGAGTCAAGTAGGCCTGGCTTTGAGGCCTAGCAGGACGCTTACCACCACTGAGACCTTGAACAAGTTACTTATCCTTTCTAAACCTGAAACTGCTCATCTGCGAAACAAAAACAATAATACTTACATTACAGGAGTGTGTTGGGACTAAGTATGAAAAAGGTAAGACAATAAATTTTGCAAACTTTCCACTGTGTAAGCGCACTGTGGAAAAGTGCACGGTGGAAAATTCGCGAACTTAATTGTCTGACTTTCATAAGATAATGCTTGTAAAGTACCTGTCACAGTTAGCCCTGAAGAGATGTCTTTATTATTGTCATTATTATGGCATCTAGTTTTATTTGCTATGATAGCTTTCCAACAAATGTTTGTTAAAGTTATCATTTGGCAGAGGTAAAAAAATTAGAGTATTGACAATAGAAGACTGAAGAAATTGTACTCCTTGCTTTTGACACAACTCATATCTCTGACTCCTCCTGCCTTCTGCATCCCTGGGCCACAGATCTTCCCACCCTCCAAGCTAAGAAGGATGTATCTAATTTTAAGGCTGTCGTGTTCTCATCCAGACCTACAATGCCTCCATCGAAATATTACCTCCATAAAACTCCATATTGCATAGATTTGGCTTTATGAAGACTAAATTGTGGAAAAAATATTTATTTCAATACACACATAATTATGGAATATGTTAAAAATAAAAACTAGAATATTTTCATTCTCTAATGCATGTCGACAGTGCCTTAGCCTCTATCCAAATCCCTTCTGGGACTTTGGTGAGAAAACCAATGGGAAGCCAGCCAATCGGCTTCAAGGCCTTGTTGGGAAAGCCTCTGAGTTAGCTCATGAAACAGTCTGGACTTGGACCGGAATCCCAAGGCTAAGAGCTTTGACTGGTCCAGTATCTCTACCATGTGAACTTTGCTCAGACAGGAGCTCTGACTTTAGGTGCTATCAACAAAACCAATCTGGACTACAAAAATGAATTTACAATAAATTGCCATTAAAAAATTAAGTCCTATACACTTTATTTTACTTACTCTTCCTAATAGACACATGTAAAAGATACCTAAGACCCTTCAAATAAATCAGTGCCTTTCAAAAGAATGTTATCATTCAGATAATGAAATATTAATATAAAACAATTGCAAAGAAATATATGCTTTAGATATTATAAATATATTTTTCTATTTTTAAAAAATAATTTTTATAAAGTGAAAATATGAATGAGGTGTGTTTTTAATGAGATAGTCTTAAAGTAAAGTTTACATAGAATATAAATGTATTTGAAACTCATCAATAAACTTATTGTAATATTCTGATGAGAGAGGAGGCAAACAACCTTGTCAACGGTCATTTGAATCTGTTCAAATAAATACAGCAGAATGGCGAAATCATGTATGGATTTTGGATCTGAACTCCAAAATTGTTTTTGGTGCATTTAAAAATAATCACAGTATTTAACCTCTTAGCCTCACTTAAATGAGCTACAAAATGTGTAGTACTGTATTTTGTAGTATTATGAAGACTTAATTACAAGTTTTTTAGTGAAGAAATTAAAATAATTGAGAACAATACCAAATTAATCATAAACCAATATTTGGTATTTTCTGTACCAAGGTCAATGAATATTTGAGTCATCAAGATTCTGGCCAAAGCTTTAAATATGATTTACCTCCACACAACTGAAGCAAGTTTTCCTCAACTGCTTAAACTGCAATATTATGAGTATAAGTGTCATCTCATGTAATAATTACATTTCAGTTAATTCAAAAGAATTAATGAGATTACATTTACCAGAGGGCTACTCTAATTTCTAGCACAATTGTGTACATAACAATTCCTTTATAATAATTAAAAATGACAAAAATCAAAGGTACCATGCATACTTTATATTTCATATTTATCAGCATGAATTTTAGGGACTGATAGGCAATAACATGCATTCTTTGAGGAACATTCTACTTGTTGGAATTTCTGCTCTGCCACTTACTATCCATGTGGACATCAATTAAACATGTATTTACTCTCAGTACCGGAGTTTTCTCATCTGTAAAATGGCCATAATAGTATTATCTCCTAAGGGGATTATCGTGAGGATTGAATGAATTCATAATTTTGGAATATGTCTTTCACATAATAACTGAAATGATACTGATATTTTTATTTACAGCTGTACTTATCTTTCAAATTTCTAGCCAGAAACCCTCACCTTGGAATGCAATGATATCTATGTTCATATTGGGGATAGGAAATTTTTACATGAACAGAAATAAACTTAAATGTAAGTTGACAGGAAAAGGATAGGGTTTACTATACTCACTACAGTATGTGCAGATTTTTTTTCACCTGTAGTTTCTTCATAAAGAACATAGCTAAGGTCATTATACAAACTGTGGCAAAATCAAATTAAACCAGCCACCACTGACTGAGTGGTGCTTCACTGGGTACTATGAGCAACACTGAAAAAGAATAATGCATATAGGGTGTGTCCTGAGGAGGGAGTAAGGGAGGGTGCAGGAAAGAGGTGAGCCAATTCTGGGAACTCACCAGGTGTTCTCTGCAATGACGACTATCTAGTCTCTTCCCCATCTTGCCTATCAGGTGGCCTTCTAGCTACCTAATTCTGTATCCAAATCATCGCTCCCTACACCCTTCTGAAGACTCCTCAG